CAGCCAGCCATGCTGGCTGGGGAATTCTGGGAGTTGAACTCCACACATCTTCAAGTCCCCAAGGTTGAGAAATGCTGCCCTAGGGAGATCCAAGCAAGAGAATGCAAAGTTTCCTGCTCGGTCTTCAGCTGTAGAGGGATTATCAACCAAGTCTTGACGCTAGGATAATAAATTAGAGATCCTGGAAAGATTACCTGGAATCCACATTAGCCACCAGCCAATGTGGACAAACGAAAGAATCTTTAGTCCAACATCTTAAGAGCCATATCCACCCCCCCCCAATTCCTTTTTAAGGAAAAACTGAAGTCTGTATCAAGGGAGAGAAGAAACTTAAGAAGTGTCAGCCAGCAGAGGGTCCTTATGCAAGGACGTGTAAGCGCCTGAAGCAAAAATGCACACCCCTCCCCGAAAAGAACAGCGCATGAAAATAACAACACAATAACGTTCATAATTCTCTATCAAAGGAGCAGACATTCCTGATGTAAACATTAAATTAGATGGTTTTCCCAAGCAACAAGAAGGGGCAAGCGTGTTGCTTTGCTGTTGTTTTTTTTTAAATATCCCAGAAACTAAGTTGTGAGGAAGAAAAAAAGGAAGAAAATTAGTGTCAGCTGTAGTGATGATCAACAGTTTTACAGAGGACTAGATGCACCAAAGGCTTTAGATTTTCTAACGAAAAATGCCCTTAACATTTATGGCCAAAACTGGGTGGCCATTTCAGAGGATTACTCAAAATCTCAAGTTTATTCTGGGCTGGTCTGCTTTTCACTTGCCACATGCCTTTCCCCCATCTATTCATTCCTAACTCCCAATTCACTGTTTGTTTTCTCGTGAGCAGGAACCTCTGGAGTGCCCCCAGCCAAAATCTTTTCACTTTTCTCTCCTGCGTGAACCGTGTAATGCCTGTGAAGTTCCGATTTCGACCGGAAGTTCTTCCCGCAGTCGATACACAGGAACGGCTTGGCCCCCGTGTGAATTCTCTGATGTGAAATGAGGTTCGAGTTACGGTTGAAGCTTTTCCCACAATCCATGCAGACGTATGGCTTTTCCCCCGTGTGGATCTTCTGATGCCTGGTGAGGCTGGTGCTATCGCAGAAACTCTTCCCGCAGTCGGAACAGATGTACGGGGTCCCCCCCGTATGGACTCGCTGATGCCTAACAAGACTCATGTTGGAATAGTAACTCTTCCCGCACTCGGTGCACTCAAACGGCTTCACCCCGGTGTGGGTTTTCTGGTGCGTAATGAGGTTGGAACTCCAGCGGAAACCTTTCCCGCACTCCAAGCACGTGTAAGGCATCTCCCCGGTGTGGATTCTCTGATGGAGGGTAAGATCCGCCTTCCGGCAAAAGTTTTTCCCACAGTCCGCACAATTGTAGGGTTTTTCTCCCGTGTGAATTCTTTGGTGGATTCGAAGTTCTGACCGTTCACAGAAGCTGACGCCGCATTCCGGGCACTTGTACGGCTTCTCCCCCTTGTGGATGATGGCGTGCCTAATTAAATGCGACTTCACCCGGAAACTTTTCCCACAATCCAAGCACTGATAGGCCTTCTCCCCTGCGTGGATCCTCTGGTGAATGGTGAGACCCGAGCTCTGGCAGAAACATTTCCCGCAATCCAAACATTTGTACGGTTTTTCCCCAGTATGGATTCTCTGATGTCTAACCAGGCTGGTGCTGTAATTAAAACTCTTCCCACAGTCCAGACATTTATAAGGCATATTCCCTGTATGGGTCACCTGAAATTCAATGATGTCTGAGTTATCATCGGCTACTCCGGCAGCCTCACTCTTCACCGGATGGATTCTTTTCGGATCTGGGCTTTCTCCAATGGTCTCTCTGCCTTCACAAAGAACAGCCTTCCCAACCTTCTTCCCTGAGGAATGCTCCACACACCCGTCAGGTCCCTGCCAAATTCTGGGAGTTTCTTGCAGTTCGCCACACTGGGAATCCTTCTGCTCCGAGTCCCCCATCTCTACCCCATTGGTACCTTCTCCTGAGACTTTGGGCAGATCCGTGGCTTCACTGGTACTCCTCAATGATTCACCTGGGGAAGAAGGAATATGAGATGAAAGGGGAAAATCCAGCATCTCCATTTGAGTTCACACTCCCAAGCTGACCACCAGAACTCTCGATTCACTTTCTGGAAACCAGATCCCCACTTTGGCCCTATTTCAATACAGAGCTGCAAGCTTATTCACTCATATAACGTGTTTCTTTGGGTCTAAGGCAGTGTTGTCCAAACTTGGCCACTTTAAAATGAGTGGACTTCAACTCCCAGAAT